GCCTCGCTGCACATTATCCCGCTTATGACACGGCCATACTAAACAAACTACAGAGTCCATTCCGTGTCCTTTTATTGTTTACTTCCTCTCTGCCTTCTTCTGGTGATTTATCTGACGTCCAGCGCTCCGTCTTTTAACCTCTTTTCCTTTCTCTTTCTTGATCCTCCTTAGCAACCTTCATTATAGTCCTTGACAGTGGTCTGTACTGTATTAACAACACGTCACATGTTAAGAATTTACAATGAGAATCGAGTATTCAACTAAGCCGTGTAATACAAGTTGTTAGTAGCCTTAAGGACCTACACAGTTGTTATGCTATACCACATTGCCCTTCACTGAATTTCTAATGAGCTGCACTAAACTACATTTTAGCATTTAAAATACCTCGCCATTCTTTTGCGGTTATTTTGGTCAAAGTAACTAAAAAGTAGTGTAACTCATTACATTTCAGAGACAGTAATATTGTAATGTAACTTATTACTTTCAAAAGACAGTAATAAGTAATATATTACATTTTGGAAGTAACTTGCCCAACACTGCTAGCATCACATCCCGTCTTTCTGTGTATTTAGCTCAGACTCAGATTTTCATGATGATCTGTGTCATTCATTTCCCATCCTTGCTCTAAATATTGTAAAAGAAAGGGTTGATGTTAAACTCCTGCTTGTGTTAATTGATGCCTGTGTGTGCAGTATGTTGGTGAGAGTGAGCGGGCTGTCAGACAGGTCTTTCAGAGAGGACGCAATTCGGCTCCGTGCGTCATCTTCTTCGATGAAATTGACGCGCTGTGTCCGCGCCGCTCAGGACACGAGGTGAGAAACATGGACTTCATGATTTAGGAGAAATTCCATGAGCATCATGTTTCAAATGTTACATTATGCATTGGAACACACCAGCCACGCTTTAGAAAGCCATGTCAGCTGGTGCAATTAATGTTCATACAGCTTTTCTTCTAAGACACATTTTAGCAATTGTGTGTATGAGCATTGTTTGTGTGTGTCCAGTCAGGAGCCAGCGTGCGGGTGGTCAACCAGCTGCTTACAGAGATGGACGGCTTGGAGACCAGACGGCAGGTCTTCATCATGGCTGCCACCAACAGACCAGGTAACCACAGTGACATGGCAAAATGTAGTGGGTTCAGAAGTTAAAATTAAGCCTATTTCTTTTATTGCCTTTTCTCAACCTTTTTCTAAAACAATATGACTGTCTTGTCCCCTGCCAGACATCATCGACCCTGCCATACTGAGGCCAGGCCGGCTGGATAAGACCTTGTATGTGGGTCTGCCTCCTCCAGCAGACCGCCACGCCATCCTGCTCACCATCACCAAGGTACAGGATCACCACAGAAAGAGGAGAGACGGAGACAGTCATATTACTCATCATGTGATCTAGCGTAGGCGGATGTTTTATGTTGAAAACCAGTAGAGGGGTAAATTGAACTGCTGCCACGTGAATGACTTGTTAGATATTTATGTTATATTGCCATTTGCACTCCTTACTTAATTTGTCTAGCACATTATTAATTTAACTTTTGTTCATATGAATATTTCTTAAATATATTTTTTGATTGATCATTTATTTATTTCATTTTAATACAGAAACTGTTGGACACCCCAATTTTCAGTGGGGAATAAAATATTCTGATTGAGGATTCTGATAATCTTATACACTGGGAATTCCTGAAATTATAAATCTTCTTTACCTGCAATTAACAATATGTCATTTATATTCAAAGCCGTTACTTATAGTAGCAGTGATAGTATATATTTTTTTTTTCCTTCCCATCATTGTGGAAGCAATAGACAATCATATTACACAGGTTCTTCAAAATGAAGTCTTTTCCTAGAAATGTCTTCTATGCCCGCCAACATTTTAAAGACCCTTTTTCCGTTCACTGGTTCCACCTAAATGACCTCGTTATCCAGAAATAACTCTGAGATATTTCTATGACATGGATGTGATGTATTACAGTTAGATGCCTGAGTCTATCTTATCAAAGCCCTCCTTTTTTCCTTTATTGTTATCTCTCTCAAAAAAAAATTAGTCCGGCTGTTTTCTTTACATCCTTAACGTTTTTTGTGATCCTCTCGTAAAAATATTTCACTTGATTGATTATTAACATTGCCAGAATGAATAGTTTGGAATGTAAAGATCTCCTTTCTCATTGCCTAGCTCATCAGTCTTCAACATGATCCCATTGCTAGGTTTATAACTGTGTGCTTCATAGTCATTTTTGAGGTTTTTGTGACCAAAAAAAGGAAGGACCTTTTGTCACTGGGAGGTGTAAGGCATCTTTTGAAGGCTCTTTGATACAACTGTGCTGCTGATCTTCTGTAGGGAGGGACCAAACCTCACCTGGAGCAGGATGTCAGTCTGGAGGAGATCGCCTTCAACGAGCGCTGCGATTGCTTCAGGTGAGTCTTACTGAACATTTCACACTGTTTCTGCCGCTTTTAGTCTAAACTAAGGCTAAACTGAATTTAAACAGTGATAAAGGTGGACATGTTTCTTTCCCCATGTTCAATGATACAGATGTAGAACCACCACACACTTGTGTGTGTCTGTGTGTCTGTGGCAGCGCAGTGGGTTGTGCGTTGGTGTTCAGATCAGGGGGTCACAGGTTCAAACCCCACTGCAGTCAGCATGTCGTTGTGTCCCTGAGACACTTCACCCCAAATTGCTCCTGTGGGGATTGTCCACAGTACTGAGTATGTAAGTCGCTTTGGATAAAAGCGTCTAACAAATGACATGTAATGTAATGTGTGTGTCTTTGTTGCAGTGGAGCTGACCTGAATGCGTTGGTGAGGGAAGCCTCTGTGAACGCTCTGAGGGAATACCTGAAGTCCCAGCCTACTACCACGGCTACACCAGGTAACCTGACTCCTACCTCAAATACCTGTATTCAGTACTTCAATGCTTTTTGGGGTTTTCCCTTTCCTGTAGTGTCTTCTATAGGTGTTGGTGCATGTAAATGGTCTGCAAAGGCTAAAATGTTCACTCCAGAGGGTGTTTCTCTCCCACACATTTCCCCACCCTGACTGAAACGCCTCCATTGGACTGCTTTGTTTACCTGCGTAACGTAGTGACATCACTATGTAACACTCTTGCTGCTATTGGCTAACGCTTCTACACATTGCACGTTATAGGCTAGGACGCGACATCTCTAAGCAGTTGACCAATCGCCACAGAGCCGGCCAGCTAACCAATCAGAGCAGACTGTGGTGTCAATGTTGTTATTACAGGAACAAGCCTTACAGTTAGTTTTAGACTACACCCTCAATATGCTAATATGCTAACCGAGTGACAAGAACTACTGTAATTAGCACATGGATGCTGACATTAACATCATATCTTTTTTTTTGTTATCTTACATTGGACACTAAAATGGAGCAATTTCATTGCAAAACCAGATAAAGTGTTCTAATTCTGATTATTGGAAATTGCTATATTGAAAATGGTAACTTTCTCATGAAACACAACAAAAACATAACAGGACTGAATTCCTGCATATTATTTATTTTGTTTTCATTGTTCCACACAGGACACACGTTCACTGCTGGCCCAGTGGTTGACATCAGAGTGAGCAAACTGAACTTTGAAGATGCCTTCAAGAAAGTTCGTCCATCTGTGTCCAAAAAAGTAAGTGCACATTTTCTTGTAGCTCTAATAATAAATAATTGCACAGATGACTGCTGTTATCATACCTGAGTTTCATTACTGACCTCAAAATGATACAATTATAATAGCTTTAAACTGGGAAAATATGAATCACTCTAATCAGTCTATTTCACAGAAGAAGAAGAAACGTATTTATGAGAACCTTTACACCTATGAATTATATTTATATTCCCTATACATTGTGACTGTTCCTGTGTTCCCTGTGCAGGAGCAGAAGATGTACGAGCTGCTCAGAGAGTCCCTCATCAGATAACTACTGGACCAGAACCACAGTTCAACTTTAGTGAATAATTGTATGTAATGTATGTATACACATTTTATTATGTTGAATCATAACTGATCCCTGCTTTTGTAATAAAAAGTGTAGAAACCAAATATGTCTGTGTGTTTTGATATAGGTTATATAAAAAAATCCCAGCAGTAACTGCTATACCATTGTTTTAGTAAAGACTAATACAAAAAAAAATGAACATTTAAAAGATAGGCTACATGGTATCATGTGTATGTTTCCACCATGTTTTTGGAAATGTAGCACTAAGGCCATATGGTCTTATTTAATAATGAATTTAAGATCCAGGTGGCCTGAGGATAGGAGCCCGACAAGAGCCTGTCTTTACTGACCTGTGTGACACTAGAAGCCTCTCCAGCGAGGACCTGTTGATAGTAACGGGTAGTTATTTTCCTGCTTCTTCCCAAAGTCCACTATCAGCTCTTTGTTTGCTGTCGTTCAGGAGTAGGTTGTTGACCTGAGAGGCAGCCAATCAGGCCCTCACTTCCTGCAGTCAGGCATTTACATTGTTCTCTGTTCTCAGGCCCAACACAGCTTTGTTGTACATCGGAAGGAGTGTACAGGGAAACCAGCAACGGGCTCAGAACGCAGCCCTGGCTAGCCATGTATCCGGGGGATATAGGGTGATGTGGGGTTTGTGTGCTACGTCATCTTCCATTGATTGCTCGCGACTGTAGGCCCAAATATATAATATGATCTTATCCAAAGCAACTTGTAAAAAGTGCAGTCAACCATTAGGATACAACCCAAATAATCACATGAAGAGTTAATCAGTTATCATGACTGTTTCATTTCCTATTGTATTACCAATGTATCAGTATACCGTATGTGTCGACATGGTGTTTCTTCCTTTGTTGTATATTGGTAGGGGTCTACAGGGGAAACAGCAGGGGGCTAAGAATGCTGCCCTGGGGTGCTCCAGTGTTGAGGATGATGTTGGAAGAGGTGTTTCCTTCTCCAAACTGCTTCATGTGTCATTGCTATCACACAAGGAAAGTACCAGTGTAGCAGTATATGTATCTTGTATGTATCCTTAGCCTCCCCAATCCGGTTCTATGACTGCTGTAGCGATTTACTGTGGACATTTCAAAGAGGCCATTGTTCGGATAGCTCCAATCCTTCATGATTCCATCAGCCTTGGTCCTGCACTGCCTGGTGTTATTGTCTTTAGGCAGCAGTGCGTTCTGCAGACCATACCAGTAGGGCTGCACGATATTGAAAAAAAATGACATTGCGATATTTTTTTCCCCTGCGATATATATTGCGGTTTCTTTAACTATATTTAACCGGATGAAGGATTTTAGTCACGGACATATGGATCTTAACTGGTTGACTCAACATACCTTAAGTCATGATCTAACATGTCATGATAATGCATGTTGCTTACCCTAAAAATAAGGGGGTTCATCTGTGAATGAAGAAAATAATCTTTTTGTATCCAAAATAGTTCCAGATAGCAGATGTTGCTTTTCTTTTTGGAAGTAAATCTTGATTCTCGCCGGTATTGTCCTCCTGTGCCTCGCTAATTTTTTTACCGGTGTTTTGATGGTCTGCAAACTAGCGGGACGGGGCCTGCTTTGATCTGATCAAGAATGATTGTGATTGGTGGTTTGCTGTGCATGCAGAGCCTGCATGTCACTCACTCAAGTACCCCTGACATGAGAGCGGCGCAAGTTTTCCTTTTGTAGCAAGCAGCAAAAATAATTGTAACATGACGTGTTTGAGTTAATACTTAATATCGCACGTCCTAATTATTATTATTTTTTAAATATTAATAAAATCGCACGTCCCTGCGAAGTGAGTATTGTGCATGCGCATATCGCGGTTATCGCCATGACACGATATATCGTTCAGGCCTACGTACCAGACTGATCCTTGGTTTTTCTGAAATGTAGTGAGAGCCAGTTGTCTCCACCTCCCCTCTCCGCAACAGGCTGGCGCTACCTAATTACATTCTTAATGATTAGACCACTAACATCCAGTCTATGGCTTACTCTATAAATAATACAGTTCTTCTTGTACTGTTGGAGATGGAGATAAAGATTGCCTAGCAAATTTGGATAGTTGCAGTGTTAGCATATCTCGTACTGGAGGAATTATGTTAATATTGTTGTCATTTTTATTATCAGTCATTTTTTATATCCATTAAATGTCTTCTTGATTGATATGGTTTCCAATTTAAACATTTATACAACTGGGACAAATCCATCTGCTGATTATGAGAATGCAAACCTCCATGAAAGCTACTATATATAGTTTTGCCAATTGCTTTAAACTATGGAACATTGAAAAACGCACAGAAATCCAGTTTTTTTTCATTCATTCTTTTATTGGCTTTAGAGTAACAATATATTATATGGAAAATGTTGGAATCTGCCAATTCAATAGCAACCATAATTAATTTGTTCTTGGTTGCTTGACACAGCACAGGCCTCAGCTGTACAGACATTGATTTTAACATTAAAAACTATTCTTGGCAGATTCTTCAACAAAATGAATACATAGTAAAAATTGAAATTAAGACCACAAATTGAAATAAAAGCTGTGAGGCACTGATGAGTAACACACGCTCATCTCCCATACAACAGCACCTTTTCTCAGTCACTGTGTGTGGACAGCAGGTTGCACAATGTTGTGTTAACATTTAGGGGTTGCATGTTAAAGAGCAGTTTTAAAAATGTGTGTCAGGCCACAAAAGGTTTCCTAATGCATTTAAAATATTAAAAGCAACCAAGCGAGACTTAATTCATATTCTATCACATATTATGCAACCAACGCATTTCATATGGAGGGATATTAAGGATGAGTGGATTCACTCAGAGGCAACTTTGGTCCAATCGTGAAATGAAGATGTCAACCAATAGCATAGCTGCTTTTATGCTGCTGACCTCTGACCGTAGAAATGGACAGCTTTGATATGCTTTGCAAACTGTTTGTGCAGTTTTTTAGTTTGCTGTGTTTGGCTTATTTCTGGGGCTGATTGCACAAAGGCATGTTGTTTTGTTTAGCTCTTACTAGCTAAATGCTAACCTTTAAACATGAATGAAATACTCAATTATTCAGGATCTAATATACAAGTAGAGGGAAACTGCATAATTTGGTACCACACTTTGAGGCCTCAGATTATGCAAATATTCCCAGAGCATTCAGTGCACATTAGCACACCAGCTAGGGTTTCAGAACATCTACAACAGTAGCATTTTGTGGTACTTTGAAACCGATGCCTTGGAAAAATGAGTTATTACAATTCTACATGAAAGACAATCCAGTTAGACTTTGTGCAACCAGCCCTATGTACTGACTCTAAACACACTCCTAGATTTTCAGTCACACTTGAACAAACAATGTTGTTTTTGTCTGACAAAATAACAATAAACTGTAGAGAAAAAGGCAGTTTCAAAGTGTCAACCCTCCTTTCCGTTCCTGTATGTATTAATATGTAAAAGCTACTAAGTTGGTGGGATGGTGAGACAGTGCAGCTTAATTCCAGAAGCTTCCAGTGAAGTTACTCCTGTTTGACGTCCCCCTTCAGCTTCCTCTTGACTCTGGAGTAAGGGCTCAGGGTTTCCTCCATGATGAAGTCATACAGCACCTTCACCCACGATGAGTACTGAGGAAGGTCGTCATAATACTCTGCTGCGATTTTCTTCACCTGGGACACAAGAACGAGAAGAATATACAGGGGTGAGTGTGCTTAAATCACATTTCAATGGGAATTCAAGTCATATTTTGGACATCAAACGCTGAAGTGGCTTCTAGGAAAGAGAATTGTTCACTATTTTTGGTATTTTCTAAACAAAAACCCACATACAAGAAGGAGTCTTACTTATTCCTAGTAATAGGAGTAGCATTATTTAAACATGTTAGAATTTAGTTTTAAAGATAATCTCAAACTATAAATGGAAGGATCTTGTAAATTAAATATATGAAATGATACAAACTAACCATGAGAATTAGATATCAAGTGAAAAGATGGAGTCTGTCCGAGTAGTTGTTGACAATGAATGTACATATGAGAATTAATAACGTCCTTTAGCTGTTAACTATATACTATACATTGATGTTCATCATTGCCTTTATCCTTTGTTATCTCTTCTGATTGGTTGATGGTTATTTGATATATGATAGTTCTGACTGTTTTTCATTTTGTTGTGTAAGTTTACAAAGCCTATGAATGCTTTCAATGTTTAAACATATTTTGTAGAGTGACTTTTTTAAGACACAGGTGTAACAGCAGGGTCAGTTGCTGCTCATGTGATTGATGTGATTCACTTTGGGTGGACAGCTAAAAAAAGCCTGCGGACAACAAACAGGAAGTACTGCTAGGACATTCCTCGAGAACATGAGTAAAGGCTATTGAGAAAATGACTGTGAAATGGAACAATAGACGGTGACTAATTGGTCCACTTCCAATTAATTGGTAGTGTAGCCTAGAGTGATGTTTACTCGTACCTACCTTGGTTTAAAAGAAGTATTTCTAAATTCCTCCAAATAGAACCACCTTACATAGTGAGATCCTGATCCATCACACTGTAGGATTGTAGCTTCCAACAACTCGACCTTGTGCTGACTAGTCCTGAGTTTCTAGTGAATAAACTACCCTATCTGAGTTTGACCTTTTTTACTGCCTTTATCTCACATCGTAACACTCCGGTGATGCTTTACAGCTCATTGGCCTGATAGTTGATTATAACGTGTCTCATCTTTACGGCTTAAGATTCTGAGCAGTTCAGTTCATTTTCTCTGCTTGTATTATGTTAGACAGGTAACAGAGAGGCCATAGGCACTTTCACACCGCAGTACTTTTCCCACAAAGGTTCATCAGAACTTAGTTCATGAGAACTCTTTAGTTCTCATGAACTAAGTGCAGATCGCGTTCACACCTGAATAAGTTCCCTGAGGGAGGATTAGGCAAATGAAGCCGCTGACGTCACTTCTTCTTCTGCTTTGGGTTTACTGGC